ATGAACCTATAAAAGTGTGGGGTTTCAATGGTGTTGCTTCCATTATCCAAGGTTGATCTTCATTGCAATTCTTTCTCAATCTATCTTAGATAATCCTTATTCTGTTGATTTATCTGCCATCAGACTATGCGTCTCAGAAGAAGATACTGAAGCATTTTATAGGAGAAGAATGGCCGTTTAATTTACCACATTATTTCAAATCTCTTGGATGTTACAGAAGAAAATGGAAGTAATATATCTCTTTCTGGGAGTCATGTCTGCCAAATGCCTCCTTGAAGAATATTTCCTAAACTTCTAAGGAATCTTAGAATTGTTTCTTGTATATTTTAAAATTGCTGCATGGAATATACTTTTCCACTGACAAAAAACATTGTACAAGCCATGAAATTAATATTTCAATCGCCTTAGAAATTGACCTAAATGTTCTTCTTCTTCTTAAAAAAATGCTGAATGCTAGGATGACTGGAGCATTCTAAACAAGAATGACAACAAAAAGAATCATTTGGTCACATTTGCTTTGGTGATAAATATATAAAACTACCTGGAGCTATTGTCCAGGTGCCAAAGGGAGCTGAGCTGCAATAAATCCAACAACTTGTGCATCACTTAGCTTTTGAAATGAGAAAGAAATGAAAATAGCTTTTGATTTTTTTTTAAAAAAAATCATTCATATGGCTAAGAAAAGAATGCAGGAGGAAACCTGGAAAGGGTGCAACCTGGCCTCGGATATCATCTCCAGCAGGAGACAATAAAAAGGCAGAGCAAAAGTTCAGGCATTTCAGATTCCCAGAAGCCTTGAGCTTTCCCTTCCTCAAATGCTGTTTCCTTCAAGTGCTCCATAATAGAATTGTGGGAACTGCCAAAATTGCAGAGAAAGTCTGTTTCTGCCATGCTGAGCATGCTGCTTTGCTGAAGCCAAGAAAAAAGAAAAAGAAAAAGCAAGTAACACTGACTAGATGAAGCCCTCTGGGTCTGCAAGTGTTCACCTCACTTTGCTTCCAAGAAAAGCGTCTGGAAACTATTTGCCATTGTGCATCTGTCCAAAGCATGCTATTATTCCAGCTTCCTTGCTTTTGTTTGCTATCAAGAGCTCCTTAATGGTTATCACCAGCCTGCCATTAAACTAGATAATTTTTTACAATTGGTTCGCAGATCGAACAAAGAACATTTCCCTTTGTCCTTCCTAGTACCATTAATTGTTACAAATATAATGCAGGATTTTTCCAGTCACAGCCCTAAATTATTTAGTACTCCTGTAGGCTTATCCTAGTAAAATGTTCTCTAGGACGGGTTTCACATTCAGATTAAGTGGTTTTATCGTTACATGCAACAAGGTGCCCAACAATGGACTAGAAACAACAGGCCCGAAGTGGCCAGGGTACTACAAAGGAAGTGTGTTGGGAAGAATGTGAAGGCAGAATAACTGAATAACAGAGTTGGAAGGGACCTTGGAGGTCTTCTAGTCCAACCCCCTGCTCAAGCAGGACAATCTCATTTCAGGCAAGTAGTTGTCCAGTCTCTTCTTAAAAGCCTCCAGTGATGGAGCACCCACAATTTCTGAAGGCAAACCGTTCCACTGGTTTATTGTTCTCACTGTCAGGAAATTTTGCCTTAGTTCTAAGTTGCTTCTCTCCTTCATTAATTTCCATCCATTGTTTCTTCTCTTGCTTTTTGGTGCTTTGGAAAATAGGTTGACCCCCTCTTCTTTATGGCAGCCTCTCAAATATTGGAACACTGCTATCTTATCGCCCCTAGTCTATTTCACTAGACATACCCAATCTCTGCAACTGTTTTTTTAATAATATTTTATTGGTTTTCCAGTTTTACATTTAAGTATTTGGAAAGCAACGTGGTGATTGGGTTAGTCAATAGTTCAATAACAAAATGTTTAGTACATATCTCAGGTTACCTCATCAAATATTTCTTCTTTATTTCCCTTAACATTTGCTATATCATATTTAAGCTAATAAATTTCTAATTGTATCAAACTCAATTAAAACTTCATTATCACATTTATCAATACATTTTTGCTTATATCCTGTTTTTAAGTTTTACCTAATTTTTAGTTTTTAATTACAGTACTCCAATTTAACCTTTAATATCCATAGTATTTAAGTTTCGGGTAAACCAAATTTCTTGTCTCACTACATAAAAGTTATAATATCTAAAATACACATATTACTTACTTAAATATATTCTTATTTTAATTCACAAACATTTTCTATTTCTCATCCTAGAACATAATGGAGTATCCTTTGTTATCTCGTCCATCATCTATATTGTCTGGGCTAAACAATAATTCAAAATTATTTCCTAATAATTAGTTTTCATTTCCCTTATAGGTCTAAGTCCTCAATATTACGCCAATTAATCTCTTATTTTTTATTATTTTCCAACAATTTTTAAAACTAATAATCAAATTTCCCCTCATCTTAAAATCTCCCTTTAGCCTATTAGTTAAGACTTTAGGATCCTCTCTAATAAATCAAACAACCCCATTTTTTAAACCTAACTCTAGCTTTCTTTTTATGCCAACCAGGCTTCCATACCAATGCTTTTAGATCATCAGATAGATCTCCCTTCATTCTTGTACATGTTACTTGAATTAAAGGAGACCATCTAACTGTCAATTTTCTGGAGGGACTGGCCCATTTATAATCATTCAGTTGTCACCCTAGTGACTCAGATCCCCTTATTTGCTCTAGTATAGTTGTCTTCAATTTGATCTGGTCTTCTTCTTCCTCAGGTTTCTTCTGGTTTAAGTAGAAAGTCACATCCAATTTTGTAGTTGTTATTTGATTGTTTAAGTTTTCAGTAAGCTGTACTTGTTGATCTTCAAAGCCCTCCGTCTTGATTTTACTTTCTTCTGCTTCTGTTGTCTTTTGGGTTGTAGGTTCTTTAGTTGTAGTCAGTGTTTCGCTTTGTAGATTTAAGCTGGCACCTTGGTCTTTCAGTCTAAATTTGATTATCTCGGTAGCTTCAATAATTTTTTCAAGTATAAGTTTGTAATCAAGCGACATCTGTTGCTGGTCTTCCTCCATTTCTGACATGGTTATAGATGGTCCTTAGTGAAGGCTATTTATTAAACAAGAGTCAGTAAGTGTTCACCTCCACAGTTCCAAAAAACCAATTTCACTGTCCAGCTGCTCTTTCAGCTTATAATCTCTCTTAGATAGTGCCAAGGTCAGATCTGGGCTGTAAGTCACTTGTCAAGAATAATAAAAATAATAGATTGCTATACCAAGCTTCGTCACCAGATGTCCCCAATAGCATTTAAAGTGTTTTCCAAATCCTGGGCTAGGTTTTTTATCCAATTTAAGTTCTTCTTTTTTCTTCTTTTTTACAAGTAAATAAAATAGCAGGTCCCAGTAAGAATAGGAACTTTTGGGTCCCCAGATTCCCCTCCCCCAAAAAAAATATGTAAATCCAATTATATTAAGTTATTCTTTTTGATGCTTTGTTCTCCCAGGTAGTCAAACACCGCCATTTTAGAGGGGGGGGGGGAGAAAGTTCCCTTCCCTCTCTCCTCCGAAGGGGAAGAATTTCAAAAAGCTTTTAACAGGAGAGTTACTTGGGGTATAGAGAAGGTAGAGTCTCACCCAATTCCTCCGCGTTGCTTTCAAAGTGCTTGTTTGTAATTTTGGCCTCGGCTGGTAGCAGTTTAATGACGGACCATGTTGATGGACGGTCTTTTCCCTGTCAATTAGAACAACTGTCCCAGATCAAATGGGAGGGCTGCCGCCCTTCTGTGATCACTCAGAGGTCCTCTTCATGCTCGTCGCCCTTCTAGGGCGACCTCCAACCCTTTTCAGGGTCCCCCGGTAGGAGAAAACCAGATGGAGGGGAGAGCGATCGCCCTGAATGTCCGCCTGTGCCGCGTTTGCAAACTGCAAGCCTCCACAACTGTTCTTCATATGTTTTAGCCTCCAGCCCCCTAATCATCTTTATTGCTCTTCTCTGCACTCCTTCCAGAGTCTCAACATCTTTTTTATATTGTGGTGACCAAAACTGGATGCAGTATTTCAAGTGAGGTCTTACCAGAGCCTTATAAAACAATAATAACACTTCACATGATCTTGATTCTATGTTTATGCAACGTAGGAGTACATTGGCTTTTTAGGCAGCTGCGGCACACTGCTGGTTCATATTTAAGTGATTGTCCACTAGGAGTCCAAAACACCTCTCATGGTTATTCCTATTAAGCCAAGTTTCACCTAATCTGTACCTGTATATTTGTTTTTTCTTGCCTAAGTGTAAAACCTTACTTTTCTCTGTATTAAATGGACAAATGGAAAGTAGCCCACAACCTTTCTTTGTCCCAAATTTCCTACTGTGAAATGGATTTTCTCTGTACCTCTCAATGTGTACAAAATTACCTTAGGCATGCATGTGTAATTTTCTCTTGTGATGATTCTGAATTCTCTACTATATTAACAGTTGGCTGGTTTTCCTTATATTTATGCTTTGCTGAAATGCTGAGATTGCATAATTTGGCCCATTGATGTTAGTTGCTCTGTTTAGATCTGGGAATGTTTTCTTCCTTTGTAAACATAGGAGAGAAAAATGCTGATAAAATCATTTTTTGAGGTTTTTGTGCTGAGGCAGTACACTTTCTAACCAATATATTCTGCAATTTCAGCATAAAAACAAACTTAGCCACTGGCAGAAACCACATCATAATACAGTCACTTGAGAACAGATGCCAGTAGGATCTTAGGATTCCCTAACCCTTTTCTGTGATTCATCCCACACCCTGTAAAGCAATGTTTTTCAAACTTGACAACTTTAAGATGTGTGGACTTCAACTCCCAGTATTCCTCAGCCAGCATGGGGTGGCTGGCTGGCTGGGGAATACTGGGAGTTGAAGTCCACACATCTTAAAGTTGTCAAGTTTGAGAAACACTGCTTTACGGGGTGTGGGATGAATCAGAAAATGGTCAAGATTAAGAAACACTGCTTTAAACACCTGGAGGAAATAATCAGAAGACATGGAAACTTACTGGAGGTCCACGGGGACCAATGATGGACATGCCAGCCTCTCCTGGAGCTCCCTGCAGGGACAAAGAGAGAGAATGTGTATGTAGAAAAGAAGACCAAAACAAAAATTTTAAAAAGCAGGTTAGAGATTAATATTAAAAAAGAGGCAGAAAAAAACAAGGAGACAATGATGAAGGTAAGCAATAATGCCAAAGTGAGTATTTAGAGTGAAAAATTCAAAGGAACGAGAGGAGACGGCTGAAAGGAACTTGTGGCCAAAGAAATAATAAGAGGAAATGAAACATTTATATAAAGGGAGATTAAAAAGAACAATACACACACATATTCTTCATTGTGATTAAAAGCAGGTTTTAACTGCAAGTCCCCAGGCCTTTTCCAATCAAAACAGGGAGCCATTTTGGATCTATCCTGAAACTGGATCAAAACAGTACTCTGAATTCCTCAGGAATGGAAAGTAATCTCACCTCATGACCATAAAAACCATTATTGGATGCCAAATTTATCTTGGGTCCAATGAACATTCTTCTCCATTGCAAAGCTATCTTGTTTAATCTGGGGTTTAAGAGTAATTAAGAAGCAAGCTACCTGTAAAAGGCTGTGGAATTTATTTTGTCATGCAGTCTCTGTCTACAAGTGCATGGACTCAAAATGTTTTTGTTAGTCTGAGAACACAATGCTTTACACTGTCTGATTTTGACTGCATAAATCATCTTTTAGCAATGCTATGTAGACTTTTGATTCCATTGACGGAATGGGGCCTTTTAAAAAATGCCATTTCTATAGGGTGTGAACTGCAGCAGAAAGGCAACCATGGATTGAAAAGAATATTTTAAGATCCTCTTTCATTTGCTTTCCTCAGTTAGTTGATGAGGCTTCCTTTGCAGACGAAATATAAAGTTTGCATCTGGAATTCTGTGAATCTTACTCAACCAATTGTGCCGAGGTGAGGCTGTCTAGGATGCAGCTGGTAGAGTTAACTACATCTCCAGGTGTCATTTTCCTGGACTCTCCAAGCACAGCTCTTAGTTATGAAACTGAAAACAGTTCCAGAAAGTATCAGATAAGGCCAGCTGCAAACAGTGGGTTTATCTGACCATCCATGCAAAGAAGCTTTGGCCATGCTAGTGTAAATTATAGTAAACAAATCAAAATTTCTGAAACTTTAGATCATCTCTGAGCTTTTTCAACAGAATATATTTTTTTAAAAAAAATCTTGTCAAACTATACATAATTGTTGTAAAGTGACAGTCCAAGAGCTGTTTTGAATCACAGTGTGCTATGTGTCCACATAATATTATGATGAAAGGATAAAATATAACTGTTAGGAATAAACTAGGATGGCAAAACATTTGGAAATGTTAGCAAGAGATTTAGAGAGTTAGCTAAATTGGTCTAAATCTCATTTTATAAGCCACTAATGCAAAAAAAACAACAACAAAAAAACAACTGGTAGAAATCTAACAAGTATCTCTGGCCCTTCTATTTATTTTCAGGAACAAATTGCTATTTTGAAGATGTGCATGTATTTGCATGTATTAATTTTTGTAAAATAAGATGGCTTTTTTGATTAATAATGGCCTTTGATAAAAGGGCAAGATCTTTTAGAGGCATGTCCATATAGTTTACATAGCAATGATATGGAAATTGCAACTTCATTCTGGAATATTTTTCTAACTAGCCTACAGCCTAAGGAAGTTTACAGTGTATAAGAATAATAATTAAAAAAAATCAAGATTGTGACCATGATGGTACGACTGAAGCTCCACCTTTTCTACTGATGGTCTCCCATTCATGTGTTAATCTGGTCTGATCATGCTTAGCTTATCAAGATCAGGGATGACAGATAAGTGCTTTTCTTTGACTTGACCCTGACTGGACAGTAATCATTTCTTGCTTGCTCGCTTGTTTATAGGATTTGGGCTAGATTAGGATGGAAATTAGGCAAATCTCTGGTTGCCCAAGGCCAGGTCTACTTCTCAGGACAATCTCTTTCAGCTCCTGGGAGTTGTCTCATGTGCTGCAATTTAAATCACAATGACAGTCTAGTGGTGATGGACCACAACTATTGACAACCCCCATCTGAAGTGGTTAACTGGAAAAAGCTGACTCACCTTCTCTCCAGGTGGACCCTTGACTCCCTGGGCCACCATTATATCAGTCGCAGCCACATGCAACAGGGTGAAGGGGGAGAGAAAGAGAGATACAAAACATAGGAGTCAGTGTTAAGGCACACTAAGCACAAATACACACTCATGCCAAAAAGAAAATTGGAAAAGAAAAGACAAACAGTGAAACATGCATGATTTAATGTTAACATACAAGCATGGTGAAGTGACCCTGATTTTGATTTTCTTACATTTAAATCACCTTCAAAAATTCTTTTTTAAAGTTCTCTTTCACAATTTTTATTAACCAGTTATATAGGGAAAAAGAAATATAGTTTCTGAAATGTACTTTTTACATTAGAAATGAGAAGTACGGTATCATGATTGAATGTATATGTGTGTGAATCTGTTCTCTTAATGTTATTAATATTATGGTTGTTCACAACAGTGTGAAGTCACGATTGGCAGGTTTTTTTGGCTGGTATTGGCCTTCATACACATCAAGTTCTTCCCAGGAACAAGAAGCTAGCATGTCATAATATATATCAGCATAGTATATATGTGAATCTAAGCAGTATGGCCTTTTGCAATTGACTGATAGAAATGTTATCAATATTATTCTGTCAAAAAGCTGAAATTTCATGTGATTGTGCAACAAAAGAGAAAGATTCTTCTGGGCATGTTTAATGCTTAGGGATGCTTATATGGGATCATTTGTATACATAAGTGTTGTCCTTCAGATTAAAGTGACAGTCCAAGAGCTGTTTTGAATCACAGTGTGCTATGTGTCCACATAATATTATGAAGATGAAAAGATAAAATATAACTGTTAAGAATAAACTAGGATGGCAAAACATTTGGAAATGTTAGCAAGAGATTTAGAGAGTTAGCTAAATTGGTCTAAATCTGGTAGAAATCTAACAAGTATCTCTGGCCCTTCTATTTTCAGGAACAAGTCGCTATTTTGAAGATGGTGTTGCTTAATTAGGATGTTTCCAATTCTTGTTGGCCAAGGCATTTTTTTGAGGAATGAAAAACAACAACATTGTTAAATTCCCCCTTACATTGTGCCCAAGAGGACAACACTGGATAAAAGGACTATAACTATAGAACTACCAAGGAAAATGGTGATTTGACACCCACTAGTGATGTTAGTGGGACACCAGCCATTTCTGTTAGGTATGTATCCATAACCTCAAAGTAAATTGATGGTGAACAGGGAAGGCTCCTGCTTAAGCAAAACTCGTGAAAAAGTCAAAGCGTTTAAATAGTGTTGGAACTGAATTTCTGAGGAAATCTGAGAGTTGAAGTCCAGAAGTCATAAAAGGGTCAGGTTTGAAGACCCCTGCTCTATAACCTAGTAAAGTCCATTTAGAAACTGCTTCCCCTCATACATATCTATCATGTTTTATTGTTTTCAGTAAGTTTAGAATAACTTTTCAGGAAAGTTTTGTATATTCCCATTAAGAACAACATCTCATGTTATCTGAAGTGTTTGTATGCTTTTGGTATATCATCTTTGTTATGCTAGGCATTTAAAAACCTATTTTTCCAAATTCTGAGTAGAAACCACTCCCCTCAGTAGGATCAGCTTTATATGAAACAGAATATTTAATTGCCCCAATAAAAAGGGGATTTGGGTGTGTGTTTGTGGCTCTCTCTTCCTCTCTCTCCTTCTCTAGCTTCTATAGATATATGTATGGTTTTCAGAAAATAGGAGAAAAGATTCAGGACTCAAATAATAGGGTACATTGCTTATTGCCCTGAAAGTCAGAAACCTTCATTAGAAGAAGTAGAAGAAAAATAGATAGAAAAATATCCATTTTCTTATTTCCTAGTGCAGGTAGATGAGTGGTGGATCAATAACCTCCATAAAATTTGTATTAAAATAGAGGATCATCATTGTAATAGTTTTTTGTTTACAAAAAATATGAAACTTTATTATTCCATCTTTAGTATACATTAAAACAGGGGTCTTCAAACTTGGCCCTTTTATGACCTGTGGACTTCAGCTCCCAGAATTCCTCAGCCAGGCATGCTGGCTGAGGAATTCTGGGAGTTGGTCCACAAGTCATAAAAGGGCCAAGTTTGAAGACCCCTGCATTAGAGTCAGGAAGATGGCTGACAGTAATGTTCATCAAGGAAAGCATGCAGAAAGCATAGAACAGTGTTTCTCAACCTCAGCCACTTTAAGATGGATGGACCAACTCCGAGAATTCCTCAGCCAGCAGAGCCATCTTAAAGTGGCTGAGGTTGAGAAACATTGGCATAGAAGAAACGGCTAAAGAACAAATTGTTGAAACTTTTTTGGGAGGTGATGTGGGGATTGAACAGATGTTAATTGTTTGTTAAAAAAATTATCAGTACAATGTTCCTATTGGTGTTTTGTTCCATTCTAACAATGCCCTTTCTTAAGCAAAAATCACGCCTAAAGTGATTACTGAACTTACTCATTTTAATGCACTTTTTCTCAATTCTTGAAAAAAAAAGGAAGAAATAAAGCTCTTCCTAAAGGCCTTCATTCATATACCAAATCTGATACTAAAACAAAACTTCTAACAAAATAATAGATTTGGAAAGACTTTCTGTGACCTATGCTGATTCAATGTCCATGTTATGAATTTAACAGAATAACAGAGTTGGAAGGGACCTTGGAGGTCTTCTAGTCCAACCCCCTACTGAAGCAGGAAACCCTATATCATTTCAGACAAATGGTTGTCCAGTCTCTTCTTTAAAAACTCCAGTGTTTCAGACTAGTATATCTCATGAGCTATCTGGGAATTGTATTTTCCAGTAACAGGAAGATTTCAGTTGCAATAATACATATATCTGTAGTTAAGGTGAAATAAATATGAAAACAAATTAAGCCACCATTCTGTGCATATTTGAAGTCTTGGAGAAAGCTTATTGAACTAACTAGGGATTATTTCTGAGTAGACATAGCACAAGTAATTGAAAATTTATATCACATATTTGTAGATCAGTTTAGTAGCTGCAGGTTTGGAAGCAGTAATGACAAATAAATTTAAGTGACTTAAGACTTACCGGCTGTCCACGGATTCCCATGGCTCCTTTGTCTCCCTAACAATTAACACAAAATCAGAAGATAATTGGCAATTGACCACATGTAATGATAAAAATTGACACAAATTCATTTAAATATGAACATTTAGACAATTGCACTGATGATTTTGGATTTTATCCATAAGAATATGTGTTTGGAAGATCATTGAATTGTTTATCAACTGCCATGGTCCAACACAGTAAAGTCATCTGTATAACTGAAAAGTTATTTGTATAACACTGCAAGTTTTTGTGTCAGAGGTCTATATTTTTTCAGTTTTTCTCTTTTTATTGTAATTTATTTATTATTTATTTTAATTTTCCTGTAACAATAAGACCATTATTGAATACATTATAACATGTTTAATAATAATATTATTATCCAAATAATAGTATCCAATGTTTTTTCAATCATATTATTGTATTCACATTCTGCAACATTGGAAGATGCTTATTCACCAAACATCTGGATAAAATCCTGTTCCACATTGTCTGCAAATATCCGTAAGTCAGAGGGTTACAGACTTGTTCTTAGTCTTTCTAGTAAATCTAAATATTTAGAAATTGGACTGGAATATTGTGGACCAAGATATTTATATAACAAACCACATGGGTTTTGTTCAGGAAACCCTGCCAAGATTCAATCAAGCAAATTTTTGTAACCATAAGACTTACAAACATGCCAGGGAAAGGAAGGAAGGAAGGAAGGAAGGAAGGAAGGAAGGAAGGAAGGAAGGAAGGAAGGAAGGAAGGAAGGAAGGAAGGAAGGGTGTGATGAATGAGGTAAGATAGGAGACAATTTCATTTCTGCATCTCATATACATGCTGGGCTCAAATGGAATTGCACGATACCTGCATCCTTACTTACAGCATTAAGAATAAGCAATACATTCTTATGAGAGAAGGATGATCATAAACATGATGACAAGAAATACATTCATTTATGAGTAAAACGTATCACCTTACAGTAAAGTGGTACATATTTCCTAGAATAACAATTCAATATTGCATGTCTGGTGATCTATCATGTTTCTATTATGTTTATCACTGGAACAGCCAAATAGTATACAAAATCAAAGTGAAAAAAGGTCTATATTTTGTTTTCCACCCTGAAGGTTTTTAGGAAATATACTCTGGGTCTGTGTTGTTTGCTTGCTGGTTAGCCTTCAGAAATCATATATGTTACCTAAAGATATGAATCACACTATCCATTGAACTCTACTATCCTTATCTTCTCTTTTGAACCTGAATGGTTATTTCAGGAAGCTGAGGATATTTTTGATTCCTGGTGATAGTAAAATTTATTATGGTCACTAGATTCATAACATCATAAGAGCTTAATGCTGAATGTTTCTACTGCCTGGAAAAATAATTATCTTGTATTTATTGTCTCTGGAGAAGACAAAATCTAAAATACAGGAGATAATATAAACAAGCATTAGGCCAGGGGCCTTCAAACTTGGCCCTTTTATGACTTGTGGACTTCAACTCCCAGAATTCCTCAGCCAGCATGCCAGCACAAGTCATAAAAGGGTCAAGTTTGAAGACCCCTGCATTAGGCAGTAAACAATACAGCAAATTGTCACTCATATTTACATGAGTCAGAGACTAAGGTATGGGATTGTGGTAGAATTAAGGACAAATGTGTTCAAACCTATTTGTAACCATACCCATTTTAATAAAAACTAAAAATAGATATTTTTGTTTGAGCCTTTTATTACATATGTGCAGTTTCATTTTCTGCTGACTATGTAGTATCCCTCAGTTCCACATGATAAGGGGGCTGTGGAAGTTGCCTTTGCTGAAACTAAACATAGCTCCTTTGCTCCTCTATGGAAGGCTAGCAGAGCATGAAAGCAGGAAAAAAAATATGATTCTGTACAATTTCTCTGATTTTTATGTATCTGGTTTTTGTACTGTTGTGTTCTGAAGAATCAACATTGGCTTTCTGCCACAGGTAGAAAATGAACAAAAAGTTACAAGGACTCAACTCTCTAATTTCCCAACAGTCTGACCTCCAAGTACCTCACACAAGGAAGGTACTTAGGTGTAGATCTGGGAGACTCCTTTAAGATGCTAAATTTGGGTTTCCACTGAACATGCTCCCATGTCTGCAAAATTCAAAGATGGGGAATATGTGAACCTGCAGATATTGTTCGATTCTAATTCCTATCAGTCTCGTCCATTGGGACCAATGATTATTGATGAGATCCGCTGTAATCCTGCGTATCTAATAGACTAGAGGCTCAGATATAAATCAAAGACTGATCAATCCAAGGAAACTTCTTTAATTCTTAACACTCCCATAAATATGATAGGCAGGTTGCTAGGATGCTAATGTCCGAAGGCTGGCCTCTTGCCTCATAGCAATTTTCCTGTGGTTTGGTTTGGACTAAACCCACCTTAATATTTGGTCTTTTTTGTTCATGGAATTTTGTGACTGAAAGGACTGAAGAAAAAATAACCCAGACCACTTAACATCTAATTAATGGGCATCTCCTTACCACTTAGACAAAACAGATTTAATCTGTTTGCTGTCTAGTACAGAGTAGCCCGTTTCAGTCCATGTCTATTCTTCTCTGGTATTTTGATGTTTTGTCTCTATGTACTTCAAGCCAATTTTTTCTCCCTTCATCTCCTTTTGAATAGGCAGGGGAGGAAGTAAAGTCTGGCATGATGAAATGCAACTACTACAAAAGGTTGCCTCCAAATCTGTATATATTCGGCTAGTTCTAATTAAAATATTGCCTGGTCACTTATTTATTCTCCATATGATCATCCTAGTTCACTGAGGTTTATTTATATTCTTGTATCATGAAGTTTATATTCTCCCATGATGGGATTTGTTCCAAAGAATCTGCAAATCATTTCCATATCCAAAATAATATTTGACCAGGCTTGCAATAATTCACAAGCTAAATCTGGAAATGCTGAGAATCTAAAATCCTTTGGATGTTGTCTGACTTGAAATATTCTCAGATGTATATTCTTTTCATGAGTGCGCCTTTTCCGTTGTGGGGCTAGATCCGAGAAGCAAAACCAGAAGTGGGGCAGGGCAAGAAATACCTTAAGCAACATAAGTTCTTAGGAAAGTCATTTCTTTGAAAGGGAATGATCCTCAGCTAATGCAATGGCAGAACATCATATTCTGGAAACTTAGCCCTCTTTACAACTCAGTTTTAAAACCCTCCTCCTAAATATTCCTCTCTATTTATAACTTGTACTGTAAGCATGTAGTATGGATTGCAGGTGTCAAGAAAGGAAGAAAAGAGAAGGAAAATACAAAAAGAAGAGGGGGGAGGGATTTACCGGAAGGCCAGGTCTTCCTGTAGGACCCTGAAAAATAAAACACAGACACAGAACAAAGGAGATGATGGCACAAAGAACAATGGATCTGAATAGTGAAAGAGTTACTGAGTTGGATTTTGGACTTCAAGAATGGCACAAAAAGCCTGTTCATCGGCATTTCTAGTTGAGCATTTGTAGGAAGCAATGTTGCCAGGTGGGCTTAGCCAAGCTATTCCCAGTTAAAGCAGAAAATGCTAGGCTAGTTTGATGGCTAATCTAATTCTGTACAGACAGCTTGATATATCCTGGTGTTCATGATAGGGTTTAGGGAGGAGAAGTGGCGGAACAAATATTTTGCTACGGCCAAAAGCCCACAACATAAAACAGCCGGCAAAAATAAAACATCCAGACTTCCAGTAGACTCCCTTCCCACAAACCGGTATGTTATAATTCATTTTTATCCTGGGAGTAACTCACATTTGCATCAAATCATCATATTGTTTAGAAAATATTACACTTCATTTAATATTTCCCCAGACAACCTGCAGCTACCATCTACTAAATTACAGAGGGCAATAGAAGTCTTTCTTTTATTTATTTGAATGCTATTTGTAATACAAAGGCAAAAGGTTGGATGAAAAGTGTCACTCCTAGAAGCCAGCTAGACTATTCAAATCCATGATTTAAAACTCGTGAATATGTTTATTGACCAAGTAGTCATCTGATATATAGTCCAACATCCTAGCTTTCACTGTCTCTCTTCAATAGATGCATCAATGTTTCCCTTCCTACCTTTTCCATCCCTATCTCACTGTTGCTATTTTTTCTTATTCTAATTTCCTGTCGGTCTCGAACTGCCATTCATCCTAGATCCCCGTCATGCTGCTATGCTGTCATTCTCCACTCATTATTTTGTTTTGAGAAGTTCATTTTCTGCTACACAATGTCAGCCCCACTTGGTGAACACTATAGTGTTCAATATAACTACAATTTGACAGCACTAGCACTAGAAAAACTCAGGCACAATATACTTAGGCAATAATTAAGTCGAGGTAGCAGATTCTCAAATGTTTGTTCTTTTGACTATACAAATATAATATGTTTGCTTCTGAACTCTCAGTGATGTTTTTAACCAACTCATCAGTCCTAGCCGAGCTCAGAGAAGTCAAAGGCTTTTTTTCTTCCCATCATGGAATATGCTGCTATCCACGTGAAAAGGAAACGAATGCATTTGTGAATCTAAATGGCAGAAAATTATTAATTTAAAAACTGTTCTCTCCCTTGCCCCAGGGCCCATTCACTTTACCCACAGATGTGCTCTTCATAGCAGAGTCAAAAGCTTTGGTACTTACAGGGGGTCCTGAAAGAAAAGAAAAATACAGACATAGTTAATATTCCAAATTCAATAGCACCATTGTTTTATGTAATAAAGCTTCCACAACATATCAATCAATCTTCCTTTATAACAATCCAGATTTACCCAACATATATAGAAAAATAGAATAGAAAACATTTCAGTACAGTGGAAATGCGGTCTATCTGAATTATATGAAAAGACAAAAATACCAGATTCTAATTCCTGAGCAGCCAATCTTACGTATTTAAACTAATGGCATATTTAAGCAATATTAACACATACAAGCTGAGAAGGACTTTAACACTTGCTCAGTTTATTGCTCTTCCTTCAGCCATTTTGCAAGGCAGATACAAAGAAATTCTATGTACTGTTTGATTATGTTCATGTGCTATAAGAACTATAGAATTTGCCCACATTTATTACAGTGCTGCTGATAGACAGATATTAGAATCTATTTTATTTCCAAGTCACTCTGATTCTTTCTACATGTAAATTCTGCTTACTGATCAAAGGGACTCTTCCTTTTCGGATGTTGACAAATTTTGTTATGCTGCTAGTAAGACAAGGTTTAAGTTGACTGATCCCCATCTATAATGGGATGTGTGGATGACCTTGGGGGGGTGTAAGGGGAAAAGATGCTGCCAAGGAAACAATCAGACAAGAGAGGGAGGAACCCTCAGCAGCTTAATGGACAGAGAAAGAAAGGTAAGAAAGACCAGCTTCAATGGCTCAAACAATTAAAAGAGGTTGTAGGAAGTTTCTACTTTCAAAACTGCAATTCTGTTAATATAGCCTTACAATAAGGTAGAATTAGCTCATCTGATCGTATTTCCTGTCTGCTTTGCCTGGCAAAGCTGATACCATCCCTCAGCATAGTATTCAGTAACTGTGTCTTACTGTGCCAATACTAAATAAGTACATGTGGATAAATTAACTGGAAGCAGTTAAATAGCAATAGCACAAACTTATACACCACTTCACAGTGTTTTACAGCCCTCTCTAAGCAGTTTACAGAGTCGGCATATTTTCCCCCAACAATTTGTGTCTTTTTTTTACTGACCTCGGAAGGATGGAAGACTGAGTCAATTTTGAGCTGGTGAGAATCAAACACCTGGCAGTGAGCAGTGAGTTAGCCTGCGATACTGCATTCTAACCACTGTGCTATCACGGAATGATTTGTGATTCAGAGCTGTGATACTCTTTAGAATATCTCTTCTCTTCTTACACTGAATCACCTGCACTCATCTCTCTGTCCTGCATGTTGTGGAAGATGTTGAAGCACAAGCTCACAATAAGAACCCTAACAGTCTACACCAGTGGTTATCAAAGTGTGGTCTGGAGGTGCCCTGTTGGTCCCCAGCTCACTGTCAACAAGTTTGCAAAGTAAAATCCATACATATTTTAAAATGTCTCAGTGTTATTTCTAATATAGTAAATATTGATAGATCATTTCAGTGGTCATGTGGCTAGCATGGCTATACATCAAAGGTGCATGGAACATCGTTACCATCCCCTTGCATTTGCATGCTTTCGAACTGCTACATGGGCAGCTGGCCATATGACCGTGGAAGGGTCTTCGGACAATGCTGGTTCCCTCAGCCAAGACACAGAGATGAGCATCGGCCCCTAGAGTCAGACACGACTAGACAGGGTACATATAGGATACATATAGCCTACATAAACTGAAGCTCTTTGGGGTCATAAAGTGTTTATAAGAAGGCAAGAGGGTCTTGAGACTAATATGTTTAAGAAATGCTGCTCTACACCATCATATGTTGATGGCAAAGGATGAAATCTAAGATACATTCACATGTGTATTCGTACCACTCCTACTTAGATCAGTTTCTTGTCTGTATGATGGGGCTGCCACAGGCAGAGGGGGCTAGGTTGTTCACCAAAGCACCAGAGGGCAGGACAAGAAACAATGGTTGGAAACTGATCAAAGAGAGAAGCAATCTGGAACTAAGGAGAAACTTTCTGACAGTGAGGACAATCAACCAGTGGAATAGCTTACCTCCAGAAATCATGGGCAATCCATCCCTGGAGGTTTTTAAGAGGAGACTGGACATTCACCTGTCTGAGATGGTATAGGTTCTCCAGCTTGAGTAGGGGGCTGCACTAGAAGACCTCCAAATTCCCTTCCAGCTCTATTCTATTCTATTCTATTCTATTCTATTCTATTCTATTCTATTCTATTCTATTCTATTCTATTCTATTCTATTCTATGGCTCATCTGTGATATATCAGAGTTCACAGCTGAGCCACATTTCAGTAGAAGCATTATAGCTCTGTGGGGCTTGAAGAAGAGTTATTTCCCTTTCAGGTCCTAAGCTCTCTTTCCTCCTGCTAGAGGCTAAAAAAACGAAAACAATACAAAACCCAAGAAAGTCCATTTGCCTTTTGGAAAAAGTTCCTTTGGGACTACCATGAACTGGATGATTGAGAATCTCTCATGGACATTAAGCCCCATAATCTTCACAACTCACAGCTGCTTTTACATGGATCATGGGAGAGTACAAGAGGTCCTCGACTTACAACCACAATTGAGCCCAATTTTTTTGTTGTTATATGAGACATTTGTTAAGCGGGTTTTGCCACATTTTACGAACTTTCTTGCCTCAGTTGTTAAGTGAATGATTGCAGTCAGTAAGTTAGTAATCCGGTTGTTAAATGAATCTGGCTTCTTCATTGACTTTGCTTGTCAGAAGATCACAAAAGGTGATCACATGATCTTGAGAAACAGCAAAGGTCATAAATGTGAACCAGTTGCTCAGCATCTGAATTTTGATCATATGACCATGGGGATGCTGCAAAGATCATAACTGTGAAAAATGGTTGTGAGTCACTTTTTTCAGTACTGCTGTAATTTTGAATGGTCACTAAATGAACTGTTGTAAGTCAAGGACAACCTGTATCTTGGTAACTTTACAACTCTATTACAAACACTCAGAATTTCCCAGGTTGAAAAAAATACCACATATAAGAATGTGATTGGTGGAAAGTAGGGTTGTGTTCTACCTTGTCAGTGAGAGGGTGCATTGATTGACTCTTGGGATGTTGTAAAGCATTTTAAAATAGGGAGCTGTTTAAGATGCAGGCAGGTTACTTGAAACATCCTGAGATTTTGTAAAATGAAAATGATTGCAGTGCAGAAGAGATCTATGAATACACCTGATACTTTGCTGTAGAGATATGCTGTGGCAAAGTATTGTGCAAATAACAAGGAGGTCAATTGTGGACATTTTTTTAAGAGGGCACTGCTGATCCTGTCATCACAGAATCCCAGTTGAAAGGCTTCCAGATATCCTTAGGCTTCTTTGAGAGCTCTTTTGAAAGAAAACAAAACTGGATGGCAATTCTTGCAATAACAATCTCAGTACATCTGGAGTGCAGAAGGTACAGCATGCTAGTTTAGAGGAAGCCTGTATTGGTGCCTTATGGGGCAAGAACTGAACAATGATCAGTAGCGCAAAGGTAACAGGGCAGCACGGGCGGCACACAAGTCCTATAAACAAACAAGCAAACAAGGTATCTTTAAACTTTTCTGCATATGTTCTCAAAAGTAGCTCTATACTTTTTATTGTGGTGTAAATTTGCCCTGAGAATTTGCCCAGGAAACATTTTTAGAATGTACTTCTGGTTCCTGTTTCACTTCTAAATTCCTTCTTCTCTTCTCAGTATCAAATCCATTGACAATCCATTGTCCAGCTATTCAATACCTCCTAAATGACATCATGCTGAAATTGTAGGCTGACTTCCAAAACCTTATCTGCTCCTTACAGATTGCCCAACACCTTGGAAACTGATGTGACCAGCAAAGTATGCCTGAACTCCTTCATCATCTATTACAACAATACTAGTTGTTCATCAGTAGTGGGCTCACAATTTGGGGAGTATAATATCAGTTAACACCCTTTGGTGGCATGCTTAACTCCCAGGGCTCTTCATCATAACCAAGTTGAAATGTTTTCACTAGTTACTGATCCATTAGAAAACTGTGTTGACATAAAATTTGGTACCCCCAGTAGCAATCTTTATCATGGCAGAAACATAATATTAGTAAATACTGTTCCCTTAGTAAGGACAGGGTTTGGTAAATTCTCCAAGCTTTGTTACTCTCCCTGCTTAACTTTCATCAAAAACCACTAGTCTGTGTCAAAACATCTGCCAAACTTTCATCTTAATGTGGATGAGGCTGGGCCTGGGGCTGAGGATATGCTCAGTTTTCAAAGATGGCTAGACCAACAAATTTAACTATCTGACAAAAAGTATTTTGTTCTGCATGAGTGTGTTCAAAGGGGGTGTATTTCAGAAGAGTACTGTACCTTAAATGGCCCAAACAATTGAGGACAGGTAAGAGGAGGAGTGAGACATGAATCATCAAAGAGATGGATAGTTCTCTTGCTTTATCATGCAACCCTCCCACAATTACTGGTGGTCCCTGCTATTCAGATTGTTCCAGCACTTCAAGCTGAAGATAGGCTTTGGAGACCTGGCAGATTCAGGACGAGTGCCTGGGGGGGGGGGCTGGGGGGGAAGACAAGGTGGGGAAGATATTTCTTCTTTTGCCAAAAGGAGAATGGCCTTGGAAGACTCCCAGAAAAATAAAAACAGGGCTAAAATTAAATATAAAGAAGAGCAAATTAATGACAACTGCTTTTTGATTTTCAAATGCCATAAAATTTCCATGCCTTATAAAAATAAGAATCATGCAAGCTATGGTATTCTCTGTGGCACTTTGTGGAAGTGAAAGTTGAACTTCGAAGAAATGAGATAGGAAGACTATTGACACTTTTGTACTTTGGTGTTGGAGAAGATCCCTGAGAATACCACACATAACCAAGAAAACAAAGAAAGGGAAAAGACATCAACCCAGAATTCTTATTTAAGACGCAGATGATAAGGCTCAAGTAATTCTAGTTCCAAACATTATGTGAGGATCTCACTCTCTGGAGAGGATTCTAATGCTGGGAAAGATGGAAAGAAAGAGAAGAGGAGGATGATCAATAATAGGTGGATGGATTTGGTTATTGTGGCAATAGATGCACCATTGGAAGACTTGAAGAATCAGTTAGAAACAAATTGTCATGGATAAAATCAATGTGGTAGCTAAGAGTGGATAACAACTTGATGATACATAACCAACCAACCAATCAATCAATCACAGGGAAGGATAACTTAGGGTTTCCTCAAGATATGGACTGCTGATCAGATAAAGTTGTTCAGGCTACTTGTATCAAGTAGCTTAGTCAAAATACCTTCCACTCCTCTTTCTAATTATGTGTTCCTGGGATTAAAATCACTAAATTGTGTATTGAATAAATATGTGGAATTGAATTATGGCCCTATGCCACCCCTGTCCAATTTCTTAGTTGAATAGTAAAAACAATGAACATAGCAAGCACAAACAACCAGATCCAGATGAGAAGAGTTCACTTAACTACTTTATTGCTTATGCCTAATTTCACAGCAATCTTCCCAGTCTGCATCTGAGCTATACTAGATAAGGTTCAAGAGCATTAGAAGAGAGGAAGTGTCAGATTTTGCCTTCTCATGCCTACTTAATGACTCTAGACTAATTCCTTGCT